GGGGTTCTCTTTTTGTTCTTTTAAAACCTGTTTTGGGCACCCTAAACCCTAAACCTTAAACCCTAACCCTAAAAACCTAAAACCTTAACCCTAAACCACGATCCGCACGCCCAGGCATTGAACGCCTGCGCCAAGGCGAAACAGCCGGCACGGGCGGAGGCACTGATGGAGAGAATGCCGCTTAGGCTTGTATTCCAAGTCGGTACAACCCTAAACCCGAAACCCGAAACCCTAAACCCTAAACCCTAAACCCTAAACCCTAAACCCTAAACCCTAAACCCTAAACCCTAAACCCTAAACCCTAAACCCTAAACCCTAAACCCTAAACTAAACATCTTTGAGGCAACTCGGAGGTTGGATGCTTTCCGCTTCTTAGCCCCCGTCCTTTTCCCCCGGCAAACAGCAGCCCAGGCGGCAGTTCGAGCTGAGCCCTGATGTTCCTCGACGCAAGTGAAGCAGAGCCCATAATACTGTTACTGCTGAGTGTATATAAGGTTCCTCTTTCATATTTTTGAGTGTATATATTGGGTGTCCTTTTGGGGATACAAGAAATATATACCCTACTTCAAGTGGGCATCGAGGGGTTTCGGGCTTGGCAAGCGTAAGGTTTAGGGTTACTCTAGGGGTAGCCCTAAACCCTAAACTTGCCAACCCCTAAACCCTTTTAAATGTTTAGGGCATACGGGCCAAAACCAGGCTTGAAGAGGGATTCGCCCGTGAGCAACAGTCAGTGAGCATCAGTGAGCAATGAGCCCAGGTATTCAGCTACACATCCCTGCTGGACGCCTATGCGCGCGTGGGAGATCTGAGAAGAGGGATCGCGGAACTGCGCAACATGCGCCGCGCCGACGTGCAACCCAATGAGCGTTCCAGCTGCAAGTTGCAGAGGATCGGTACCAACTCCAAATTTTAGATAGATCTTGATATAAATAAATAAACATATATATATATCTATAGATATAATGTTATGGATGTTTACGAATATATAGGGACCCTAAAATAGAACCCCCCCCCCCCAATAGTAGGATCCCTTATAGCGACGACCTCAATAAGGTACCCTTAATTAATTTGGAACCCCTAAACCCTGAAACCCTAAACCCCAAACCCCAAACCCCAAACCCCAAACCCCAAACCCCAAACCCTAAACCCTAAACCCTAAACCCTAAGAAACCCCCACATGCGTAATTTCTTTCTCGTGAGCTGAAGGTTGCTCGTGCGAGGCATGAGCCGGAACTGGACCCTAAACCCTAAACCCTAAACCCTAAACCCGAAACCCTAAACCCTAAACCCTCTGTTATCCAGAGCATGTTGCTTCGACAAGTCAGATCGAGCCCTTCTCATGATGGTCAACGTGATTACATGGCCCTGCGGTCTGGGCGTCGTTGAGGCCCTAAAAGGCACCTGCACCCCAAACCCCACACCCTAAACCCTAAACCCTAAACCCGAAAGCGCAGCTGAGGAGAACCTATACTGTCCTTATATATGGTTGCCGGCGAAATGGTCTTTCTGTGCTGGAGGCTGAGCTGCTGGCGCCTGGGCTTCTCAAGGTTTAGGGGTTAGGGTTTAGGGTTTAGGGTTTCGGGTCTAGGGTTTAGGGTTTAGGGTTTAGGGTTTAGAGTTAGAATTGGGTAGCTTAGGTTTGAGGAGGGTTTCTAGGGTAGTTTCGTGTTCAGGGTTTGGAGGCTTGACGTTTGGGGCCGGGCTTAGGGAGCTGGAGTTGAAGGTTTCGGGGTTTGGGCTTTAAGTGTTGGGGTTTCGGAGGCTGTTGAGGGTTTTTTGCTCACCAACTCCCGAACCCCGGGCGCCTTGATCTCCTCTCAGGACGAGATGAAGAGCGTCCAGATGCCTGCCAAAAGCGCCGGCCGGCCACGAGCCCCCGGCTCTTTGCCGGCGCGGGCCTATGACGCATCCCGGCGCAGAGCTAGACGACTTGAAGGGGCTGAAGGTGAGACCGTTCTAATAACGGAGCCGCAGGGGTCATTTTGGGGGGCTACTTGGGTAAGGGAAGTCTATATGTACACAGGGGCTGATTTGCAAGTAGTGTTTTGATTCAGTTCCGTGGGCCCTGTCCCTGCATATGCTCCGAAATTCGATTTTGATGGTTCCCCCAAATCCACCCCAGAAAAAGGAGCCAAAACCAACTGCTTCAAAAGCATGCCCTTAGAATCTCTACATTGCAAGAAAGGCATGCTGCCTAAAGTCGTCATACCCAGCAACTCCTCCAGTGCACCTCAATTTTCTCGAGCGCGGCTTAAGATATACTCGGAATCCTAAGATGGATGATTTTTAGCGTTCCAGCATCGGGGGAATTAGGATTCCCTGGATATTTTTTGGGAATTTTCTGGGTAGCCTGCTTCCCGTTCTTCACGCGATCAGACTATGAGGAGATTGTGTATCCGAGCATGTCAACAAGCAGCCTTCTTCTTGCCAGCCCAGTGGAGGGTTTAGGGTTTAGGGCTTTGGTTTTAGAGTTTAGGGGTTAGGGTTTAGGGCTTAGTGGCCTAGTACACACTTCACCTGTTTTTGGTTCATGCTTCCCTTATAACGTAACCAACCCCCAAAAAAAGGCACCCTTATTCACAACATGGTTTCGGTCCTATTTTTGATTGTGTTTGGCGTCATTTCGCTGCTGTCTTTGTTGCTGGTCGAAGTACCAAGCCACCCAATTGTGTAGTACCTTAAACCCTAAACCCTAAGCCCTAAGCCCTAAACCCTAAACCCTAAACGTAGTGCATATATTGACCGAACATGGTTGTTTGAGGTCCCGCTCTCTGTTTTGGCCTGGCCTTTTTTTTGCCAGACTCTAGACCAGCAAGCATGGCACTGTTAGGGTTTAGGGGCTTAGGGGTTTGGGGGTTTAGGGGTTTAGGGGTTTAGGGTTTATAGGGTTTAGGGAGTAGTTGTTTCTGTGTGCACAGTGGAACAGTTGAGTTCAGCCGCAGGCTGCTCGTCTTGTGCAGGTTTAGGGTTTAGGGTTTAGGGTTTAGGGTTTAGGGTTTAGGGTTTAGGGTTTAGGGTTTAGGGTTTAGGGTTTAGGGTTTAGGGTTTAGCATGGACGCCACCCTAACGGTCCCAACCACGCAGCACCTTACACACTGTTTTCCTTAGCTGTCTTCGCTCACCTGCCCCCTTTTTTTGGCTGCCTCTTGTGCGACCTACCCCGGCACCTGATTGAAAATTAGGGTGATGGGGTGGCAGCCTTCAGTTTCGACTTCGACACGGCCACAAAATCTGGCTCAGGGGTTTAGGGTTTAGGGTTTAGGGTTTAGGGCTAGTGCCGCCCGACCCCCCGGGCAACCCCTTGTGCCCCCAAACGATTGTGGGAATCTCTGCCAGACACTCCTTCCGCCCGATTTGCGTGTCAGCCGCCTTTCCCACGACTAGAGGTCCCGCACAACGCCAAAAATCAAAGCATCTCCTATGCCCTAAACCCTACACCCGAAGCCCTAAAACCTAAATCCTACAGCATGCCCTCCACCATCTCATGAGGCGGGCAAGCAGTACGGCAAGAGGCTGCGAATCCGACACATGAGAAAGCTGTGGGTTGATGTTCGGGTACAGAGCTTTGGTGGCTCAGAGTTCAGCGTCCCAAACCCTAAACCCTAAACCCTAAACCCTAAACCCTAAACCCTAAACCCTAAACCCTAAACCCTAAACCCGAGCTTTTCGCATCTGACGGTTTCGAAGGATGCCGCGAAGAGAACAATCAAATGCAAAGGGTCCAGATGCAACCACCCCCCAGCACTTTCGGGTTTAGGGTTTAGGGTTTAGGGTTTAGGGTTTAGGGTTTAGGGATTTAACAAAGGGAATCCCCTTCAAAGGGCCCATACTAACGGACCATGTAACTCTACCCTGGCACCACACATCACCCTGCCTGAAGAAGCCCCACAGTCACCCTAGGTATTTGAGGGTTTAGAGTTTAGGGTTCAGGGTTTAGGGTTTAGGGTTTAGGGCTCAGGGCGGTTCCAGAGTTCAGGGATGAAGAATGAAGCTTGCGGAAACCCTTGGGCGTTACTGGTGCTGATCTTTCAATACGAATCTGCCAAACATGGGAGCCCAGAAGGGCTTGTGCACAAACTCGAGTGCACCAGCCCCCCCCCCCCCCGGCTCCCCAAACCCTAGACCTGTAAACCCTAAACCCTAAACCCACAACCGTAGAACAACAAACATCCATAAAAGGCCTACGGACTTAAACGCAGGAGAAATCATGCGAGAAGTCGTCCGAGGCGTGGTCAATCGCCACGGGGGGAAGAGAGGGTTTCTCCGGGTTTGGGCTGTGGCAGAGTGGCGTATTTTGGGTGGGTAGGGTTTAGGCTTTAGGGTTTGGGGTGTAGGGTTTAGGGTTTGGGGCATAGGAATCCTCCCAAAATGCCCCCCAAGAACCTTTAATCGAGAAGAGGCCCCGGCGGCGTCAGCCTACTTCGACTTCGACCCAGCAGAGCCGCGTTTGGGAGTAAAAAAGGGTGCTCCCAACTCTGTGCGGGCTGCAGGGGTTCGACCTGTGACTTGGGCCTAGGGCTTGTGATTATAAGGTTGTAGGGTTGAGGGTTTCAGATTTAGGGCTTAGGGTTTAGGGTTTAATTAGGGTTTAGAGTGAACTGCATGAACTAGAGTGGTCCGGGGCCCTTGCGGTCCAACTGTCGAGACGAAAAACAATTCACCCTGAACCCCCCCCCTTTCCGCGCGGAGAACTCCAGAGTTTCAGGCGTGGGGTTTAGGGATTGAGGGCTTGGTAGCCTTTTCCCTCTTTTTTTGGCTCTGGGTTCCCTTATAAGCAACCAACCAAAAACACGGGTGCCCTTATTCCAATATGGTTCCCGGGCTACCAAGAGGGTTGAGATCGACGCTGCGCTTCCCGTAGTTTCGATGCCTGCCTTCCTGGAAAGACTTGAGCCAAACCCTAAGCCCGAAGCCCTAAACCCTAAGCCCTAAACCCTAAACCCTAGCCCTAGACCCTAGCCCTAAACCCTAAACCTTATGCCCATGCTGTGGCCACTGAGGCCGTCCTCCTAGTTGGCATCCTCAGGCCAGGACAAGTGGTCTCCACCGTGGTTCTCTCACGTTCTCTTTATGATGAGGTCAACCTACCCTGACTACATTAGGCCTCTAATAGTATTCCCTTGAGCCCTAGATAAGTATACTATGACAACCCCCCAAACCCCTATTCGAATTACTAACGAAAATAAGGGACCCCTAATAAAGACCCCCAAATAGTAGGACCCCTTAGAACCAGGACCCAATAAGGTGCCCCTAGTTTCGGAAACGCCAACTGAATTTACGATAACAGCCCCCAAACCCTATTCGAATTTCTAACCCTAAACCCTAAACCCTAAACCCTAAACCCTAAACCCCATACTATGCCTGTGATGGCTTGCGATGCGCAACCAGGGCAGCCCTGCTCGATTGGGAGCTGCCAGATGCGGGGAAGATCTTCATGCCGACGGTGTCCTGGACCTGACCGAAAAGGTAAGGGTTTAGGGTTTCGGGTTTAGGGTTTCGGGTTTAGGGTTTAGGGTTTAGGGTTTAGGGTTTCGGGTTTAGGGTTTCGGGTTTAGGGGTTAGGGGCTTAGGGTTTAGGAGTTTCAGGAGCGAAGTCACCTTCCCTGTTTAAAAGAGTATGTCAGTATCCCACGCCTTATTATCCCGACTAAGAACCAAGAGTGAGGTTTTGGAAGGTTGAGGGGAAGCCAGATCTTGTTGCGGTAGTTTGGGTGGGCTTAGGGTGGTGTGCCAGGGGGTGTGGCCCCACTTGTTTTCTACAGTCCCCTTAGGATTCCTCGGATGTCAGTCGGCTCTTCGTTATACGCAATCCAATCTAATTCAATACAGGAAGAACAACTTTCTGCCGTTATGCATAAGAAACGCAGCGCCGTATCCTTATGAAAAATGGGGTGTTTCCAAAAATAGGGGTACTGGTACGCTTTTGAGGGGGGGGGCTTTTAATGGCTTCCAGTCTACTTGGGACATAAAATACGAAAGAGGTACCATAAACAAATAAACAGTCGAACCCGAGGTGGCTTGGGGAACTGTTGCGGCGTTTTCACTTGCAACCGCCCCGGCGCCCAGGAATGCACGTGTCTTTTGGGTTTAGGGGTTTTTAGGGATGAGGGGTTCAGGGGTTCAGGGGTTTTGGGGTTTAGGGTTTAGAGTTTTTGGGTTTTTGGGATTGAGGTGTATAAGGTTTCAGCCTGACAAGGGCTTAGGGGAGCAAGGGCTTACAAAAGTCAGGGTTTAGGGTTTAGGGTTTAGGGTTTATAGTGGCGCAGGGTTCTCAGATCTGGCTCCTTCAGCACAGACCTCAGTCCGCGCAGTCGCGCAGGAGGATGCTCGCACCACAGCATTGAACAAGGGAGGTGTCCTGGAGCCCTCCTCCATCCTTGGGCCAAGGGGGGATCTTCTGAGGGCTCTCGAAATCGGGGGGTCCTTGTCAGGTTTAGGGTTTCTAGGGTTTAGGGTTTAGGGTTTCTATGGGTGAGGGGGGCCAAGGTCTCGCAGCTCTACCTGGTAGCCTGTCGGCGTGCAGCCGCGGCGGCTGAACAGGCCTGGGCTTAGGAACTCTCAAGTCAGGGGTTTAGAGCTCTCAAAGTGCAGAGGCAAGGCTAAACCCTAAACCCTAAACCCTAAACCCTAAACCCTAAACCCAAGGGGCAGTTGCGGGGCTCAACAGGCCTGTGCTTATGTGTTTGTTGTTTTGCAAGAAAGGCTCCAAAGCACCGAGTCGCCACATGTCAACCGAGAAGAGGTCTCAGGATCCGTTGTCGGGCGGTGTAGGGTTTGAGGCTCTTCGGGTTTGAGGAGCTTAGGGTTTGAGGATCCAGGGTTTTTTTAGGAATCTTCGGGTTTAGGGTGTTGCTGTTTTTTGTTTTTTTCGGGTTCAGGGTGGTGGGCTTGAGGATGGCCAGCACTGAAAACCCTAAACCCTAAACCCTAAACCCTAAACCCTAAACCCTAAACCCTAAAACCAACACTTGGTCTCCAGGCGGCTGCCGCGCAGGAGGCGGCTGTCGGGAGGTTTCCAAGCAACCTTCTTTGTCTTAATCTGCCAATTAAAGCCCGAAACCCCTAAGCCCCTAAACCCCCAACCCTAAACCCCAAAACAGACAAGCCGAGCCCCGAAGCCCCCTATATACGAAAATGGGGGACCCCTCAACATAGACCCCCAAACAGTAGGAAGGAACCCCCAAAAAGGTACCCCTACTCTCGTCAACCCCCAAATAAGCCAAACCCTCTTGAACCCTAAACCCTAAACCCTAAACCCTAAACCCTAAACCCTAAACCGCCCCAACCAGAACCCAGCTTCGGAAGCTCCAAAGCCCAGAGTTGGGATGTTCCCCCTCTAACAGGGTTTAGAGTTTAGGGTTTAGGGTTTGGATTTTAGGGTTTAGGGTTTAGGGTTTAGTGTGATGTTCCCCCGTTATACTAGTAACAATCCCGACTAAAGTCCCTATTGAGGACTGTTAGTTTAAGGGGAAACACCCCAAGCCCAGAATGCGCAGGAAACCCGAAAATCCTGATCTTGGATGGGTTTAGGGGTTGACAATAATATACTGAACTCGGCACCCTTGCAAAAAACCCTATCCTGTTTGCTTCCTTGGGGATCATAGTATTCCAAAATGTACCACTTGTTCCAAGCACCCCTAGTTAGTATATTGAGAGGTTTGAGAAATGCTGGGCTCCGGGCCCGCCGCAACTACCCATGCGCAGTTACTTGAAGGTTCCTGGTACTTATTAACCAATGAGAACTGTACTTCTAACCCACATTCTCCCCATATTAGGGCACCTAAGGGGCTTATAAGTGGGTAATAAGTACAGCTATCCTTGGTTAATGAGTACCCTGAGCCTCCAAGTAACCTTTGCCTTAAATGGTTGACCTCTTGGCTGCCTCCGATGGCTTGAGGGAATAGTGGAATTCTATGCCCAAGAGCAAGCCGAGCGGTACTAGTAGTATTCCTTTTCGGTCCCTGTGTGACATGCACGATAATCATAACCCCCAAGACCCTATTCGAATCATTAAGGCCCCCATATGAGAGGACCTAAGCTCCGCCACCAGACTGTGCTGTGCGCCAGGATGCAGATTCGGGCGAGACGCAGTGCTCTGCCACCACTATTCGCCTGGTAGGGAAGAAGCAAAGGGCTTCGACTCCACTTAGAGGTTCAGGGTACTTTTAACCCCTTTAGGGTTAAGGGTCTGGCGGGGGGTACTTATAATCTCAATTAGAATTGTACTTGTAAGCCCCCTAAGTCCCCCAAGTAAGTGATAAGTAGACCTCCAAGTGGTAAATCTTAGAGGGCTGATGCCTTCTTTCCCGGAAAGGAATCTTAGTTCATATGCATGATGAAGCCCTCAACCCTAAACTCCTAGTCCCTAAACTCGCTAAACCCTCGTTGATGACGGGGCACAAGGGGCTCCCAGGGAGTAGGGCGACATGGGAGGTCAGGGGCTCTCAGGTACTCGTCAACACTTTCCTTCATCCAGACCCTGAAAGCCGGGCCCTCGCAGACTGAGAGGTTGGGTTTAGGGTTAAGGGTTTGGGGTTAGGTTTAGGGTTTGAGGTTTATATAGGGTTTAGGGTTTACGGATAGGGTTTATAGGCTTATAGGACTTATTGCGATTACAGGGTTTAGAGGGTTTATTTATAGGGTTTGGACGGTTGATGGGTTTATCGAGTTTATAGTAACCTGAGAGGCTTCCGCCGACTTCCTCTGCCACTTCCTGAGACTTCGAAGCCTCAACCCAGCTTCGAGAAAGACCCACTTGGAGGTTTATGGGTACTCTTTAACCCCATTATAAGTCTACTTATAACCTACTTAAGGGGACTTAGGGGGCTGATAAGTGCAGTTACAATTGGGGTTATAACCCTAAACCCTAAACCCTACAATTGGGGTTCTAAGGACCCTGAACGTCCAAGCAGGTCCTGAAGCCGTACTTCTGGCCGTCAACTGGCAAGCCACAGGAGGCCTTCCGATTCCCTGGACTGAGATCACCCAAAAATGGCCGGTTAGGGTTTGGGGTTTAGGGTTTAGGGTTCAGGGTTCAGGGTTTAGGGTTTAGGGTTTAGGGTTTAGGAGCAGTGCTGTTTGATGAGTCATAAGGCCCCCTTTTCTTGTCTGGGTGGTTCAATATCAGGAGGAGGGGCTTAGAATTTGAAGGTCTCTGCCGCTGAGGGTTCAGCGGTTCTGGAGAACTCCTGAAACCCTATTCCCAGTTAAGTTCACCGGTTGGATGAGCCTTTTCGAGCGACTATATTGGGGTGTGTCGAGACTTTCGGGTTTTGGGGTTTTGGGATCTTCGCAACTTCGGAATTTCCCTTTCGAAGCTATCCCTTTCGGCTCCGCGATTTGGGGCAGGTTCTCCTCAACCGCATTCGGGCCTCGCTGACGTGGTTCTGCGTCGTGCTCTCGAAGGCAGGCCTGGCCATTGACAGATTTTGTTTGGAGGGTTTCGGGTTTAGGGTTTAGGATTTGGGGTTTGGGGCTTGGGGTTTAGGGTTTAGGGTTCCTACTCCCTGAACCCTAAGCTGCCACACGAACAGGCCCGCAAAGCCCATCCTCAGGGGTTGTGCAAAGTTGGATTTTTGCTTTCAACCCTAAACAAAGCAAAGAGACCATCCTTGTTGAGAAGTGACCACATGAAGCAGGGTTTGTATTACTGTTTTTGGTGAGTGTATATAAGGTTCCTTTTTAATATTGGTGAGTGTATATACTTGGTGTCCTTTTGGGGGTACAAGAAATATATACCCTACTTCACATAATCATAGTATAGTGAGACTGAGGGTGCGCATTCGATATAGGGATGCATGGCTCCTGGGGACGGTTTGGGGTGTAAGGGACGTCGGGATTTAGGGGTTTTAGTTTCCCATTGTTTGGGGTCTTAGCTCTATGAGCCCCAACAGCACCCTAAACCCTAAACCCTAAACCCTAAACCCTAAACCCTAAACCCTAAACCCTAAACGCCTCAGGTGTTCAACATCATCTCCCCCATCTATTTGGCGCGGGCCACCGACGCCCTCAGCGCCGCGTTGCGCCAGACGAGCTCTCCGCAAGAGATCAGCCAAGAGGCAGCTGATGCCTTTGCAGGGTTTAGGGTTTGGGGTTTGGGGTTTGGGGTTTAGGTTTAGGGTCAGGGTCTAGGGTTTAGGAGTTTTAGTAGGGTTTGGTGTTTAGGCAGCGGGGAGGTGGAGTACACGGATCTTGGGGAGCTCTGTACGTTGATTTCCCAGCTTTGGGGCATGTTGAGGAGCGGTTATCCTTTTCCCTGAACCCAAATCCCTAAAGACCCTAGTCCCGTACCAGTTGAAGGCTTTCGGGGCCACAGATGCTAACCTTATCTACCCCAAGCTGAATAGGGGAGCTGAATAGGGAATCCTGGGGTTTAAAAGAAGGTATTGGGGGGCCGGGGGGGGGGGGGGGGGGGGGAGGGTCCCTCTTTGTGTCGTGGGGTCCTCTTAAGGGGGATTCTACAACTCCATTTGGGGGTATAACCGGGGGGAAACCATATTATCCTCGAAGCTCCCATATTAGGTCTGAGGGTTTTAGGGTTTAGGGGTTTTAGGGCCCTCAACACCCCCAGAAGCAGGTATGGTGGCCTTTGGTCGAGTACGCAGCGATGGTCTTTTTCTCCAAGGCCTTGAAGGAGAAACCGATATGGTTTAGGGTCTAGGGTTGGGACGCTCCGAGACCCCAGACGGGTAAAGGGTTTAGGGTTTAGGGTTTACTACCCCCTAAACCTTCTGGACTCAAACTCAGCTTTGGGGCCAGGAGGCACAGTCCCTGGTGTACATTAAGGTGCAGCAAGCGGCGTGCCCCATCCATGAAGGTCAATGCTGTGAGTCCACAGCCTCCTGGGAGAATACTCAAGCTGAACATCACAGCTGTTCCCAAAGTAGGGTCCATGTGTTCTACTTGTTGATGGTCAGCTTCAACCCTCGAATGACAGGTACATTGAGATCGCCGACAACACCTTTGCCCACCTCCACGGTCTCTCCCTGGACTGGCACCTTAGAAAGAAGATGGGGCCGCGCCGCCACGTTGAAGCTGCAGGGTTCGGAGAGCCCTGTGCAATGACAAGAAGAGAGAGCGGGAGGGAGGGGAGGAAGTGAGGGATGGAGGGAGAGAGGGCGGGAGAGCAAAAGGGAGAGAGGGAGGGACCTGAGCACTAACCAGAGAGAGGGAGGTCTAGATCGAGATCGGCTGACTCCTCATCATCTGTGAGCTTGGGGGAAGTGCCCGCCCTTTTTTCCGGCGCCAGGAATGTCATCCGCTCCATGGATCGTGGAATCCAGGCTGGGAAAGTCCATACCGCACGGGCTCAGGGTTCAAGGTTTAGGGTTCAGGGTTGAGGATTCATAGGACTTGGGGGGTAGCTAACTGAAAAGTACCTCTTCAGTCCGAAAAATAACGAAGCAATGCCAGTGATTGCTAGGCTGCGCAGCAGACGATGCAGTACGTCTTCCTCTACCTGGTTCCAACACTCGTGGAGGCTTTCACGGCAAGGGCCTTATAGTGCCTGACGCCATCGGCCTTGAACCCCTTTTAGAACCCTAAACCCTAAACCCTAAACCCTTGAATTTCATCTTAGAGATGAAAAAAGACTAGCAGCCCAAAGCCTTCAGCCCTGTAAGCGCCCCACTTCAGGGTTCAAAAAAGCACGCCTCAGCGTGGGCAGCGAGTTGGCACTTAGAGCCTCTCTGAGGTCACCCTCATCTTCGTCTTTCACTTCGAGAATGCCCAGCTGGCCGCACGGTGCCCGGATCGGGGACCCTTCAGCAAGGAAGTTGAGGGTCCAAACCCCCCCGCCCCCCGGCTGCAGCCCCCTGAGACTTCCAACTCCAAACTACGGTCCCCATTGCAGGGAATCCTTGAATTTCGGGCTCAGGGTTAGGGCGACGCCACTCTCGAGGTCTTCGTGTTCATGAACCTCTTCATGTACATCTACGCCACGGTGAAGGTCACGCTCTGGAGGAAGCAGCCACGCGGCCCAAGATGTGTCATGTTTAGAGAGAGGTCTTAAAAAACCTGTAGAGCCCGAGGGTCCTAGTAAAGCCCGAGCTAATCCCCTAGAGGGTTTAGGGTTTAGGGTTTAGGGTTTAGGGTTTAGGGTTTAGGGTTTAGGGTTTAGGGACCCTATGGAAGCCGTATCAGGTTCCGCACAGCGACCACCAAGCACGACAACGATCTGCACGACCGCCTCACTGACTCCCTGGTGAACTACGAGGCATCAATTTTGCATTTTGTCAATACTGAAAATTATCGTTCTGTAAATAAGCAAATAAGTATGTTTTCTATATATGTATATATATATATGTATACATATTAGTATTGGTAGAGTTATTCATATAAGTATTATCATTATTATTTTCATCATCATCGATTATGATTATTATTGTTTTTATTATTGTCATACACATATATATATATATATATTCTCTATAATGAGTGATGCGGCCGAAAAGATTTCGAATACCCCTTGTGGTCCCTACACAGTTCAGTGGGCCCCCGTACTAGGCTTCAGGCCATGGGCAGTTTGGGGGGGTTGAAAGGGTGCCAGAAGCGTTTGGGGGGGGTAAGCCCTAAACCCCAAACCCCAAACCCGGACCCCTAAACCCTAAACCCTAAACCCTAAACCCTAAACCCTAAACCTGCTGTAGGGTTCGGGCTTGGCGGGCCGATGGTTTAAATGGGCTGTTTGCATGTGACACTTTTCAAAGGTGGTTCAGCGATTTCTAAAACGCAGCCTGCTGTTTGTAGGATGCTTTCGTCGGCTGAAAAAATCTATGGAGCACTGTCCGGTTGACACAGTTGGGTCCGGAATTCACAACAAAACGACCATGTGCTTCCAGAGTCTTGTGGAGAGCGGCCGCGAATTCAATACAGGCCCTAAACCTCCTTCAAATCTAGACGCGTCCCCTCCTGTGCATGCCTAGGAGTGTAAGGAGGTTTCATTCACAAGGCCGGTCAGAAAATTGAGAGGCCTTTTAGGCTTAGGGTTTGCGTAGCCTTATTCTGTTTAAGGGGCCATGATTTACGATAAGAACCCGAGATGCTTCCATCCTAGCTTGCGGGGGTATTTTGAATAGAACGCGGAGAACACTGCGCAGTTGTAGGGCTTCTACAAGAGGTGTAAAAGTGTTCCCTTATGGTCCCTTTAGAAGACTACTAGAATGACCCCCACAACCCCATTCTAAATATTCAGGCCCCTATAGGAGGCCCTGATATTCTGAGAACCTCAAGCTTGGCCTCTGCCAGACTGTGAAGTACTTCACGGCAGAGAGATACGAGCGCTCGGAGTGAGCCAAATGCCTTCAGAATGTTGGACTCGCTCGGGTTGACGGTGTCTTTGGGCCTCAGGGTTTCGGTTCTTTTTTTCAAGGCGTGGGCGCCTGCGAGAGGTACCGGGGCCTTGTGGAGAAGTTCCAAAAGACATCCATGGCCACGCAGGCGAGGCTTCGTGTCACGGTCCATGAGGAGGTCTGAACCGGATCGTAGGAGGCTTCCATGCAAGTAGCCCTACTTGAAGTAGCCAAGCAAAACTGCACTTAATTCCCACTTAGTAAGTGCCCTAATATGGTTATAATTTGGGTTATAAGTACAGGTATGATTGGTCAATAAGTACCATGAACCTTCAAGTAAACCCTGGAGCCCCTTATACCATGCAGGCATCGCTGTCCCTGCTGAACGTGCTGCAGCAGCTCATCGTGAACTTTGCGCTCTGCGGTGGAATGCCAGCGCCTTACTTGGAGGTTCAGGGCACCTAAAACCCCAATTATAGTTGTACTTTTACGCCCCCTAAGTCCCCTAAGTAGGTAGTTATGAGTAGACTTCTTATGGGGTCAATAAGTAGCCATGAACCTCCAAGCAGTTCTAGGTTGCCTATACGACTAAGAGCAACTGCGAGCTACAGCCCCTAGCTGCCCGAAATCCACACTGAACTGTGGATGCTCCGATGAGGATCATCGCCACTGTGCGCGTGCTGCAGGCCAGGCTTTGTGCACCATTCAATCCACGCTGTAGTAGCAGTTTCTTGACCATGCCCTCCCTCAACCCTAAACCCTAAACCCTAAACCCCTCTATATGATCCCCCTGTACAGGACCTTGTGCAAGAATGGACATAGGGCGTCGGAGCCATGCATCAACTCATCAACACCCATGACCTATACACACTAAGCCCCAAAGAGCCGGCCGCTTGTTCAAACCCTAAACCCGAAACCCAAAACCCTAAACCCTAAACACGACACCAAGGTCCACGGCAGCCTCGGTACCTTCGTCGCTGTCAACGCGTGCGCCGCGTCACGCAGCAGTCCTTGCCAGGGGCTGCCTGGAGCGGTTCCCTTGTGATTTTGGATCAGGGTTAAGGGTTTAGGGTTTAAGGTTTAGGGTTTAGGAATTAGGGTTTAGGACGAACTTGCACATCTGCAGGTACATCATCAACGTCTTCACGCCCCTGAACTTCTTGGGGACGATCTACAACATGGCCCGGCCCTGGGGTCTGTTGGAGTAGCCCAGGACCCTTTAATACAGGAGCCTCGGTTTAGGGTTTAGGGTTTAGGGTTTAGGGTTTAGGGTTCGGGCAACTGTAGAAAATCAAAATGCGCCCGACAGCGCACCCGAATGTTAGGCAACACCCCGCAAGCCAGGTTCCTGGACCCTTCCCCACGCAGGCCTCCGAATCCTAAACCCTATATGGGGGTTTCCGAAAAAGGGGTGCCCTTTTTGGGGGTCCCTTTAAGGGGATTCTATTCTGTTTGGGGTATAAAAGGGCGTACCCCTATTTGGGGACATACCCATATAAACCTACATACCTGTCTACCTACATACACCTCATAATCGGGGTACTATAATCCCTATTTAAGGACTGTTAGTAGTATAAACCCTGAGCCCTTTGAGCCCTAAACCCTAAACCCTAAACCCCTGCCGTCGAGGTGGTCAACGCCATTGTGGACATGCGGAGTTTCGGGCAGCTCTTGGCAGAGACCTCCGAAGTTCAGGAGCCCTTCTCGAAGGGTTAGGTGCACGGTTTAGGGTTTAGGGTTTCGGGTTTCGGGTTTGGGGTTTGGGGTTTGGGGTTTGTCGATTTAGGGCTTGCAGTGTTTCAGCTCTGGAGCTTCTCACAAAGGCCCTCTAAACCCTAGCAGGGTGCTGAGGATGTTTTGTGCGTTTACCGAAATTAGTGTGCTTAGGATGTTTAAGGGTGTTTACCTAAATCCTAAACCCTAAACCCTAAACCCTAAACCCTAAACCCTAAACCCTAAACCCTCTTGGAGCCGCAGGATGCCAGCAACGCTCCGGATCTCAACCTCGCGGTGCGTGAGGCACGCGGCGAGGGGGCTGAGTGGATGGGTTTAGGGTTTAGGGTTCAGGGTTTAGGGTTTAGGGTTTGGGGTTTGGGGTTTAGGGTTTAGGGTTTAGGGTTCAGGGTTTAGGGTTTAGGGTTTGGGGTTTAGGGTTCAGGGTTTAGGGTTTAGGGTTCCGGGGGAGACTCGAGGATGCTAAGGGGAAGCTACATGTCCCCTTAATCTGGTCCCTCTTGCCTTCTCAAAAGGGTTCTGAAGTATGGGCCCTTGAGTTTTATAGCGTATAGAAGGGCCCTAAACCCTAAAACCCTAAAATCCCAAAGCCCTAAAACCCTAAAACCCTCAAACCCTAAAACCCTAAAACCCTAAAACCCTAACACCCTAACACCCTAACACCCTAACACCCTAACACCCTAACACCCTAAAACCCTAAAACCCTAAACCCTAAACCCTAGGAAGGGCTCCCCCAATTAAGGGCCCATGTTAACGGGACCGTGGGCTTCCCCGAAAGAACCCGAGGAGACACTCTTGGGTTTGGGGCTTACGGTTTAGGGTTCAGGGTTTAGGCGGTTTAGGGTTTAGGGTTTAGGGTGTAGGGTTTAGGGTTTAGGGTTTAGGGTTTAGGGTTTAGGGCTAGCTGCCAGGATGTGCCGATGGTTGCCTTCTTCCAGGTGTGCTTCCACTACTCAAAGTGGCCCGGCAAAGAGTGTCTAGCGTTCATAGGATTTAGGGTTTAGGGTTTAGGGTTTAGGGTTTAGGGTGTAGGGTTTAGGGTTTAGGGTTTAGGGCTTGGAGGCCTAAACGCGGAACGGCTCTCACACCAGCAGGGACAAGTAGGGGCGAGGGTAGGCCTAGCATCTGGGATGAGCTTGTCCAGGATTTGCGTACCTTAAACCCTGAACCCTAAAGGCCGCTACTTTCTCAGTTTCATTGAGACTTGGTTAGGACTTTAATAGGGCTTTGCAATTGGTGACAACACCCTCGTACAACTCGAGACCTTGAAACCTGCGCTTGGCGTTTAGGGTTTAGGGTTTGGCGTTTAGGGTTTAGGGTTTAGGGTGCAGGCTGCAGGATCTAGGGTTTAGGGTTCAGGATTTAGGCTCCCCTGCTGAGGCAGCCGCTTGGCCGAGCAATCAAGGACTTCTTGGGAAGGGTGAGGTCGAGCAGCGTTCTGGACGCGTGCGGCTGTGAAGAACAGCGCTCGCAATGCAGCCTTGCCACGGGGTTATCTTAGGTTCTGCGGGGCTCAGTTGCAGGATTGCAAAAAGATTTGCGTGTAGCTAGTACGTCCAGGTGTTGCTACTTATGCCGTACATTGTATACATCATCACTTCATGATACGATGGCAGACTGAATGTATGCCTGCACGATAGGGCTGGGCTCAAAACCGCAAAGTCTTAAACGCGGTGCCCCATAAACTTAAATCCTAAACCCGAAGAGTCCAGGACATCTGCTTCGAGATTCCTCGCGGGAGCTCCTTGGCACTCGTGGGTTCGACTGGCGCGGGCAAGACTACCATCACACGCCTCCTCTTCCGTTTCTACGACGTCGTCTCCGGCCTCTTGGTTGCCCAAAGCCTACGACAGTAGCAGGACAAGGACGGTTTAGGGTTTGGGGTTTCGGGTTTAGGGTTTAGGGTTTAGTATGGTCAGGGTGCTCGTCTCGGGTGCCCTTGCTCTTCAAAGGGATCTACGGGGCCACAACACCTAAACCCTGCAAACCTAACCCTGCACCCCAAATTTAAAAGCCCTAAACCATAAACCCTAAACCCTCAGCGGCCACGAGTACTTTGGAGACCTGCACGTTATACACCCCAGTCCAAGGTCAGGTCGCAGTGAACGGCCAGGATGTTCGCAAGGTCACGCAGCGTTCTCTGCGGGCAGCAATCGGGATGGTCCCGCAGGAGTGTCCTTCAAGCTTCTTGTTTCTTGTGGCACGGGGATCTAGTCGGACGATGAAGAAAGTGCCTTTTGAAAGCCGGAGAGAGAGCGCAAGAGGGACCATAATCATCAAAAGGGTTCAGCATTTGGGGCTGCACAAACTCCAGCTGTCGGGGTCGGCAGGAATATATGGGAAAAGCACCCTCATGCTAATTGCAATCTGGGGGGTTTACTTTTAAAAAAAGGGGCCCCTAATATAGACCCCCCCAATTAGTAGGATCCCTCTATAGTAAGGACCCCAATAAGGTACCCCGAAGTTCGGAAACCCTAAATCCTAAAACCCTTAAACCCTTAAACCCTTAAACCCTTAAACCCTTAAACCCTTAAACCCTTAAACCCTTAAACCCTTAAACCCTTAAACCCTTAAACCCTTAAACCCTTAAACCCTTAAACCCTTAAACCCTTAAACCCTAAACCCTAAACTCTAAACCCTAAACCTCGGTTTAAAGGACGTGGTGCTTTTCAACTCCACGATCGCGCACAACCTGCGATATGGCAACATCTACGAGGCCACACCATTGGTCGGCTTGTACAGGCTGCTAGAGCTCCTTTAGATTAATCTCTAGGACCCTAAACCCTAAACCCTAAACCTTAGTGTTCCTCCTTCCGGGAAGAGGATCTTTTGATCGGAGCTCGGTCAGGCCACGCAAGCAGATATTGAGAAGGCTGCGGCCAGTGCACAGCTGGATGGCTTCATCGGGCAACAAGCACAGGGCTACGAAACCTGGCATGCAAGAGTGATTTTTTTTGAGGCTTTCCCGAAAACCCTATGCTTCCGTAAGCCCTAAAACCCTAAACCCTAACCATTAAACTTGGGCATAGGGGCGTCGGACTTTGGACTATGCCCTGAGGACACCATCGTGGGTGAGAGGGGCCTCAAGCTCAGCGGGGGAGAGAAGCAGAGGCAGGAACAGTTTGGGGTTTGGGGTTTAGGGTTTAGGGTTTAGGGTTAGGGTGTAGGGTTTCGGGTTTAGGGTTTAGGGTTTAGGGAGAGTTTCTGAGAACAACCCTAAACCTCGAACACTCAAACTCCCAACCCAACGAGTGCTTCGACACACCCTTGCTGTGCCACACGGGGAGGAGGAGGAGGAGGAGGAGGGGCATTGTCTGGCAGGCGGCGCCCTAAGCCCTAAGCCCTAAGCCCTAAGCCCTAAACCCTAAACCCTAAACCCTAAACCCTAAACCCTAAACCCTAAACCCTAAACCCTACCCAAAGACACGGCAGCAGGTTGGCGATCGCCCGCTGTTTGGTGAAGGATCCGCCGATTGTAGCCACTGGACACTGAAGTGACATTGCAGGGCTTCAGGAGTTGCTTTGAGTTCCCAAAAACCATTATGAAATACGATTCTTATTCTTATTCTTTTTCTTATTCTTACGTTCATTCTCATTCTTATGCTATTTCTTGTTCTTGTACTATTTCTTATTCTAGTTATTATGATTATGAGTATTATGGTTATTTGTTGCAGATATTCCGAACAAAAATGACCATGGCCTGAGCCTTCTACGGGATCAAGGTGAAAATTCGGAGTCGGCCCTCTTGATCAAGAAAGAGGGTTTAGGGTTTAGGGTTTAGGGTTAGGGTTTAGAGTTTAGGGTTTAGGGTTTAGGGCGCTTGTTGTGGAGAATGAGGTGCTGGATGAGGCCACCTCTGCGCTGGACTCCCAGACGGAGCAGCGCATCCAGCAGGCGCTGAGCGTTCTCAGCGCGTCGCGGACGGCCGCTCGGACGTTAGACCCTTCATGGGTGTAGGGTTTAGGGTTTAGGGTTTAGGGTTTAGGGTTTAGGGTCCATGAGTACAGGCAGCGATCTCCGCAAAAACCCTCAGCCCTAAACCCTCAACCTTAATCTCTTAACCCTGTGGAGCTTTGTTTTCTTGAGGGCTAGGGAAGATCAAGCTGACCTGACCTGTTTAGGGTTTTAGGGTTTTAGGGTTTTAGGGTTTTAGGGTTTTAGGGTTTTAGGGCTTTAGGTTTTTAGGGTTTTAGGGTTTTAGGGTTTTCGGGTTTTGGGGTCTTAGGGTCTTAGGGTTCTAGGGGTTTAGGGGTTTAGGGGTTCAGGGTTTAGGGTTTGGGCTCAGATGAGCAAAGAAATCCGGGGGCAGGTTGTGGCAATCGCCCACCGCCTCAGCACCATCAAGGCCTACGATCAGATCTGCGTCCTGGAGTCCGGACAAATCGCCCCTCGGCCCCCAAAGGGCTTAGGGTTTAGGGTTTCGGGTTTAGGGTTTACTGGTTGCTGCTCAACTCCTTGGAGGTTCAGGGTACTGAAAACCTAAACCCTAAACCCTAAACCCTAAACCCGAAACCCTAAACCCTAGCCCTAAACCCTAAACCCTAAACCCCAAATCGCTCCTCAGGTGGAGTCCGGCACGCACGACAGCCTCCTCGAGAGAGGGGAGGCTTATGCTGCGATGTGGAAGAGACAGGCTGCTGGAATCATGGAAGATCCAGAATGGGAGGACCCCCTTTAGGGTTTAGGGTTTAGGGTTTAGGGTTTAGGGTTTAGGGTTTAGGGTTTAGGGTTTAGGGTTTAGGGTTTAGGGCCTAGATAGAGACTTTGAAAACGCCCCGATGCCCTTGCTAAAACGTGCCAAGCTAAGAGACCTTTGCGTGTATGTGTGTGCGTATATATATATATATATAATGTATACATGTGTATATATATATATAGACACATAACATACATATGTACATATATATATATGTATATTGTATTTATACATACACATATATATGTACATATATACATATATATAGATGTACATATTGGTGATTAATTTCTTGAGTCATTGACACATGCCCCGGCTGAAGCGAAGGACGTGCAGGCTGGCAGTCCTAAGAAGGGAGCTGAGAAGGCAGCTGCCAGCTGACGGGCTTAGGGCTTAGGGCTTAGGGCTTAGGGCTTAGGGTTTAGGGTTTAGGGTTGAGGGTTGAGGGTTGAGGGTTGAGGGTTGAGGGTTGAGGGGGCATTCGGCGGCCCTGTACATACGGCTAGCGGCTGGAGACTCTTGATGCTCGCCGCAGCGAGACTTGTACAGACTTGTAAGCCTCTTCCGGCGGCAGGCAGCGGGCCACGAAGCAATATCCCCTTATAGCCCTTGTTATTATACACAACAAATCGGTCCCAATATGTTGATGGTCCTTGTTGAACAGAAGTTCCAACAGTGGGCCTTCTTGCAGGTCATAGTCACGGTTGAGGACATCGCTAGGCTGCTGCGAGGGGGGTGGGTGGTACTTTCAATAAAGCCGAGGACGATCGCACCTGCCAGCGCCGGCAGTCTTTGCGGCGATCCTTCGCATTGGCTCTTCAAGGGCAACGTCCGTGTGGACGATGCATTCCTGCATCTGCCCTGGGCGAAGATCCGCCGGCATGTGCAGCTTCGACCACTGCCGGCCTGTCGTCAGGGTTACTGAGCTGCCCCCCTGCTACCCTAAACCCTAAACCCTAAACCCCCCCCATGTATATCTATATATATATATATATGTGTGTGTATGTATATATATATATACACATATATATACATATACCTATCTTTGTGCCAGTTCTTTAGAGTTCCTTTTTGGGGTAGCCTTTATATGTATGCATATATACATATATATGTATGTGTGTACGTAGATATCTAAAGGCCTGTGCGATGTGACATGCTTCGGTATCTTGCTTGGACCCTTAGACACTTGGGCCATCTTGGGCCTCGCGTGATTTTCCAACGACTCCAAAGAACTTTGGTTTAAGAGTCCCAGGCTCCACTGCGCCCCAAGGTCCAAAGAAAAGTGCCCTGATTGACTGGGGGGGGAAGGATTGGGGGTGTTTGTTGCTTGCAACTGCTGTTATGATGACATCTGCCGTTGCCACTACTTTTCCGTCATGACCGACAAACCGAAAGTAGCCATGCAGCTGGCAAGTCTGTGTTGTCCAGTTGTCGCTTGCGTGCACCATGATGCGTTCTGCTGCGATGTCTGCTCTTGTAGTTTTCAGTTTTTGCGCTGTCACTGGTACGTCCATCCCGTGCAAACCATGGCACCCATACTAAGCGCTCTGGCAACTGGCATCGGCCTGTTGACCGACAAGTACATGCTTGGCGCCACCAATTTTGTCGAGCACTATGCGCTCGACTTTCACGCAACTCATGCACAGAAGGATTTCGTGAAAGCTGCCATGTACGCCGGGGCTATGCTGGGCATGATTGTCATGGGTCCGGCATCCGACTTTTTTGGACGCCGTTTAGGCCTCATTCTTTGCTCCTTTATCACGCTGCTCGGTGCATTGCTCTCTGCTCTGGCTTGGAGTGAGAACGCACTCATTGCAGCCCGTGTCATCACTGGTATTGGTATGGGTGGTGAGTATCCCCTGGCTTCGTCGCACTCTGCCGAATCGTCGGACAAGACGAGCGACGGTGCTCGAAACGTCGCCCTACTGTACCTCTTCGGGAGCGGTTTTGGCCAGGCGTTGTGCCCGTTCGTGACGTACTTGATGGATGTCGCGGGTGTTCCGCACAAGCTTCTTTGGCGATGGATCTTTGGAGTGGGCGTGATTCTCTCGGCTCTGGGCCTGGCCTTGCGGTACTTCGCCATCCAGGACAGCCAGAAGTTCGTGGAAAGCAAGCAGGCCGAGCAGAAGCACCATGCAAGCACATGGAAGATCCTGGCCCCGTACTGGCGGGCGCTTCTGGGAACAGCGGGGTGCTGGTTCCTCTTCGACATTGTCGAGTATGGGTTGAAGCAGAATGATGCGGCAATCTTTAGCAAGAACGCCTCGGCCACGTATACCGACAGCATCCTCCAAGTTTTATGGAGCCGCCTACTGGTGATCCCTTCCTTGATTTTTGCCCCGTGGCTCCTTACCAAGATCTCCAGCAAAAGAGTTCAGCTCGTGGGCTTCCTGGGCTGTGCGCTGGCCAACCTCATTTTAGCAGTTGCCTATGAAGAGTTGCAAGACTTGTCTGGCCTCTTCTTTGCGTTCTATATTGCTCAGCTGTCCTTCCAGAGCCTGCCAGGGGTCACCACCATGGCGATCTCGGCGGAGATCTACCCAAGCATGGTCCGCGGCACCGGCGCCGGCATCAGCGCCGCCTGCGGCAAGCTCGGCGCGACCGTCGGCTCCTACTTCTTTTCCGAGCTCAAGAACTTGGGGGAAATCAGGGCGATCTTCTGGACCGTGTTTGCCACATCTGGTCTGGCCATGCTACTCACGGTGCTCACTACTCCCTACTACAACGGAGATGGGCTTGATGAGGCAGATGCGCTTGCCTGTGACTCAAAGCCAGGCCAGGCGGTGAAGGTGCTGTACGCCGGTCCGAAGAATTGTGACGGGACAGAGCCAACGAAGTCGGCCAGATACGTCTCGGAGGACTTGGCCGACGATGCTGAGGAGAATGTGATGGCCTAAAAAGGGAGGGTGCCAAATGGTGCAATAGACTGAGTAGACTGCAAAGTAGCTGCACGAGAGCTTTTGAACGGCTGCGGGGCCGTTCTTGCAAAGCGAGAAGTCTGGTGCCACAATAATTGTTTTTCTCAAGCCGCCGGCGAGATCTGACCTAGAGCCGGTTTCCTCTTGACCTCACAGCCCACGCTGGAATGTGCAATTAACCTGCAAGATTATGCACGAGCCATCAAAAGCCATCCAGGGCCATCAAGAGCCATCAAGAGCCATATCTTGCGCTGCTTGAGCGCCGAAAACATGATTACCAGGATCTGTGTCTTTCGTGCCATCTAGTTCAACCGTGCGTCTGAATTGTGGGAGATATTGGAGCCGCAACGATCCCAGATGCCAACGCAACACACGTGCAGCTCTCGAAGTTAGAGTTTCTTCTCGCAGCGTGGAGCCATAGCCTGGGGTACCCCAACAGGCCCAACAACCCAAGCCCTAAACTCAAAACCCCAAGCCCTAAACCCTAAACTCCAAAACCCTAAACCCCAAACCCTTTAAACCCCAAACCCTAAACCCCAAAGCCCAAACCTCGAGAGCTGCCATCATCGTCTGCCACTCGCAGGCTCATGTGCCTTCGGCACCCTAAGTCCCTGATATTTAGGATTTAGGGTTTAGGGTTTAGGCCCCCCCCAAAAAAAAAATATATATATATATTCTTCTTCCTTATAAGGGCATTATTGGGATTATTTTGCATATATGTTTGGGTGTTCTTAAGCAAATAGTAGATCAGAGGGTGTAGCAGAAGAGAGTTTTTAAAAGCCAGGCAGTAGAGGAAAATGCAAGGTTTAGGGTTTTATGGTTCTTAGATGTTTTGTGAGGCTTTTCTAGAGGGTTTTGTTAGGGTTAGGGGCTCAATTCTGAATCCGACGCCCTCAAGTCTACTGCCCATGAGACCCCAGGAACCCCTAAACCATTCTAAGCCCTAAACCCTCAACCCTAAACAAAGCGCCATGGCGGATGACGAGCGTCTTCAGAAGTTGAAAGAGAAGTACAACCAGCTGAAGCAGGCAAGGAGATCCCCAAATGCCCCGAAATCATGGGGTTTAGGGTTTCGGGTTTAGGGTTTAGGGTTTAGGGAGTTTATCCATAGGGCTTGCGGCACCAGAAACCTTTTGTTCTAGTGCCTTTCCTGTGGTCAGGGAGCCAGCCCAATAAAGTTATACACCTTTCTGTGTTTCACAAGAAGCAGTCAGGACCCAGAGTAGGCCCTTGTTCGTTTTTTTGGGGGGTGTCGGTTCCCTTCGGAGCCCTTAAAAAAAAGGGTGCCAATTTTCCCCCAGGTCGCTCTTGGGTCTTGGAAGACTACTGATGACGGTATGTTCCAGAGTGGAGGCTGTGAGTGGGTAAGTTTATGGAGCATGACGAATGACGCAGCATGATGAAAAGGAATGGAGGTACAGGTAAGGGCACAGGGGAGGGTTTAGGACGTGCCAGGCGAATGGCGTCTTGAAGAAGGGCCTGCTCGACAAGCAGGAGGCAGCCAGAAGATCTTTGAGAGCAGCCTTGGCATTTTGGCCCATGACTACTATTTGCTTAAGCACCCCCCCAACCCAAAAAAAGAAGAGAGAATAATCCCAATATTACGTATCAGGAAGAATAGTCTTAGTGTTTTTGAGGGTTCTTAAGCAGATGTGGGTTTGAGGCCCCGAAGCCAAACAAAAACCAACAACGCTTGCATATGGGCCCTCTTGCTCACACCTTCCTCTTGCTCACATGAAGCTTCGGATTCTCCTAAGCCGAAGCCCATAAACCGTAAACCCGAAGCCCTTAATCCATCCCAGCGCAAGGATCCAGAACACGGGACCGTAAAGCCTAAACCCTAAACCTAGCGGTTCTGTAAATGAGGGTGGGGCGGGGGGTCCTGTTTATAAGGGTGCCGTACTCCATATAATTAATGGGTTCCCAAAAAGGGACCTGAGTTCAGAAGATTAATTACCCTATGTGCAGCCCCGGGGGCTGCTCGGTTGAACGAGTGATCCCAGACTCCTGAAGTCCATAGAGACCCGAAACCACAAATTTGGGGGGTTGAGGGTTAGGGGTAAGGGGTTATGGTTTAGGGTTTGAGCTTTAGGGTTTAGGCGAGGTGCGGGGGGGGGGGGGGTAAGACGGAAGAATGTGTATAATCTGACGAGGCCGAGGTCTCGATGAATATTCAATATTTTTTGGGTCTGGTGGCCTACTTAACACACGAGGGTCAATATTGAATATTTAGGGCTCCTTTGAATATTCAAAGAGAGCCTGAAATTCAATATTCCCTTGGCGCGGCCTCCCAACTTTCAGCGGGGACCCCCGTCAATATTCAAAATATTCTGCGTATTCAAAACATTCACGCGTTGCGTGGAGGCTGGCCCAGGTCAATGTTGAATATTCAGGAGCCCCTTTGAATATTCAAAGAGAGCTTGAATATTCAATATTCCACTGGCCTGGCCTCGCAACCTTCAGCTGGAACCCCCGTCAATATTCGAAATATTCTGCGTATTCAAATATTCACGTTTTGCGTGGAGGCTGGCCCAGGCAATATTGAATATTCAGGGCTCCTTGCAATATTCAAAATGGGCCTGAATATTCAATATTCCCCTGGACCAATATTTGAATATTTCGAATATTCTGAATATTGAAGGGGTCCTCCCCTTAAGCTTGGAGGCTGGCCAAGGTCAATATTGAATATTTAGAGCTCCTTTGAATATTCAAAACGGGCCTGAATATTCAATATTCCCCTGGCCCAATATTTGAATATTTCGAATATTTTGAATATTGAAGGGGTCCTCCCTTTAAGCTTGGAGGCTGGCCCAGGTCAATATTGAATATTCAGGGCTCCTTTGAATATTCAAATCGGGCCTGAATATTCAATATTCCCCTGACCCAATATTTGAATATTTCGAACATTTTGAATATTGATGGGTTCCCCCCTCCTTAAGCTTGGAGGCTGGCCCAGGTCAATATTGAATATTCAAGGCGAGCCTGAATATTCAATATTCCCCTGGCCTGGCCTCGCAACCTTCAGCGGGGACCCCCCTCAATATTCAAAATATTCTGCATATTCAAATATTCACGTTTTGCGTGGAGGCTGGCCCAGGTCAATATTGAATATTCAGGAGCCCCTTTGAATATTCAAAATGGGCCTGAATATTCAATATTCCCCTGGCCTGGCCGCGCAACCTTCAGCGGGGACCCCCCTCAATATTCAAAATATTCTGCGTATTCAAATATTCACGTTTTGCGTGGAGGCTGGCCCAGGCAATATTGAATATTCAGGGCTCCTTGCAATATTCAAAATGGGCCTGAATATTCAATATTCCCCTGGACCAATATTTGAATATTTCGAATATTTTGAATATTGAAGGGGTCCTCCCCTTAAGCTTGGAGGCTGGCCCAGGTCAATATTGAATATTTAGAGCTCCTTTGAATATTCAAAACGGGCCTGAATATTCAATATTCCCCTGGCCCAATATTTGAATATTTCGAATATTTTGAATATTGAAGGGGTCCTCCCTTTAAGCTTGGAGGCTGGCCCAGGTCAATATTGAATATTCAGGGCTCCTTTGAATATTCAAAACGGGCCTGAATATTCAATATTCCCCTGACCCAATATTTGAATATTTCGAATATTTTGAATATTGATGGGTTCCCCCCTCCTTAAGCTTGGAGGCTGGCCCAGGTCAATATTGAATATTCAAGGCGAGCCTGAATATTCAATATTCCCCTGGCCTGGCCTCGCAACCTTCAGCAGGGACCCCCCTCAATATTCAAAATATTCTGCGTATTCAAATATTCACGTTTTGCGTGGAGGCTGGCCCAGGTCAATATTGAATATTCAGGATCTCCTTTGAATATTCAAAATGGGCCTGAATATTCAATATTCCCCTGGCCTGGCCTCGCAACCTTCAGCGGGGACCCCCCTCAATATTCAAAATATTCTGCGTATTCAAATATTCACGTTTTGCGTGGAGGCTGGCCCAGGTCAATATTGAATATTCAGGGCTCCTTGCAATATTCAAAACGGGCCTGAATATTCAATATTCCCCTGGCCCAATATTTGAATATTTTGAATATTTTGAATATTGAAGGGGTCCTCCCCTTAAGCTTGGAGGCTGGCCCAGGTCAATATTGAATATTTAGAGCTCTTTTGAATATTCAAAACGGGCCTGAATATTCAATAAAACTTGGAGGCTGGCCCAGGTCAATATTGAATATTCAGGATCTCCTTTGAATATTCAAAATGGGCCTGAATATTCAATATTCCCCTGGCCTGGCCTCGCAACCTTCAGCGGGGACCCCCCTCAATATTCAAAATATTCTGCGTATTCAAATATTCACGTTTTGCGTGGAGGCTGGCCCAGGTCAATATTGAATATTCAGGGCTCCTTGCAATATTCAAAACGGGCCTGAATATTCAATATTCCCCTGGCCCAATATTTGAATATTTTGAATATTTTGAATATTGAAGGGGTCCTCCCCTTAAGCTTGGAGGCTGGCCCAGGTCAATATTGAATATTTAGAGCTCTTTTGAATATTCAAAACGGGCCTGAATATTCAATAAAACTTGGAGGCTGGCCCAGGTCAATATTGAATATTCAGGAGCTCCTTTGAGTATTCAAAGAGAGCTTGAATATTCAATATTCCCCTGGCCTGGCCTCGCAACCTTCAGCGGGGACCCCCCTCAATATTCAAAATATTCTGCGTATGCAAATATTCACGTTTTGCGTGGAGGCTGGCCCAGGTCAATATTGAATATTCAGGAGCTCCTTTGAATATTCAAAATGGGCCTGAATATTCAATATTCCCCTGGCCTGGCCTCGCAACCTTCAGCGGGGACCCCCCTCAATATTCAAAATATTCTGCGTATTCAAATATTCACGTTTTGCATGGAGGCTGGCCCAGGTCAATATTGAATATTCAGGGCTCCTTGCAATATTCAAAATGGGCCTGAATATTCAATATTCCCCTGGCCCAATATT